ATGCATGATGAAAAGGGACCAGAAAACATCATGAGGATAGATGCCAAAAAAGATTTGGGCATCTGGGTCTCCTCAAACTTGTTCTTCTCACTACACCATGAGAAATCGGCCCAAAAGGCATTCGCCATTTTACGGATGATCCGACGCACCTTCTCCCGTATTACTCGCATGAACCTCAAAACGCTCTATGGGGCTCACGTCAGACCGCTCCTGGAGTACGCCAACCAAGTTGTCTACTCAGGACGCACGTAATACCTCACCCTCTTTGAGCGTGTCCAGCGGGTCGCTACGAGAATGTTTGCCGACCTAAAATCCGTGGACTACGAAACGCGTCTCGCAGTGCTTGATCTCTTTCGCCTGGAGTACCGTCGCCTCCGAGGGGACTTAATTGTTACCTATGCCCTGTTTGAAAAAGCTTGGCAGACAGGTTTTTTACCGTTGACCCAGCAAACACCCGGCGAGGACATAGTAAGAAAATTTTCAAGCTCAGAGCACACACATTCATCAGGCAAAATTTTTTCGTATTTCGGGTGGTTTATGCGTAGAATGACTTTCTTCGGACAGTTGTTCACGCTCCTTCTAGAACCCAGTTTAAACACTATTAGTCACTTATTTACGCGAATGCTCGCGCTGGCGAGCATACTGCCCCGCGCTGAGAACATAAAGAGTAATGCTGCAACATTTTTTCACTTGTGCCTTTCAGGTGAACGACAGCCACTGACCGACAAGAACAAAACCGACCCGGGAAACTTGGGCAAAGGCCTCGATCCTGTGTATCAATCCTTGTATTCGTGACTTCTCACTGTGCATTGAGAAGCACATCTATGAAGAGTGCCCAATACCCGAGCCCTTCTTGGTTTCTATCCTCGTACTGTCTCCTTGTCTATACACAGCATGCACGACACAGACGTTCACTGAGCCTCCACCGAGCGATATATGGATGCAACTTTTACCATTCAAAGGTATGTGCCAGTCCAACGACCGTTACTTTGCAGCGTCTACATCCATTTATTGGGCTCTGGCATTCGAAATCCAGGATTTTAATTTGCCTCGAAAACGTAAACATGGATTTGAAAGAAACGCTTTCAAGGTGGTTGAAGTAGATTAGAAACTGCAGTGGTCCCAAAGCGGAGCTTTGGGGAACTCCAATGGAGAGCGGTGCCGGAGAAGAGTAGGTCGAACCTACTTTCACTAGGAATGTTCTGTCTGATAGGAACGCCGTGATCCAGCATCGAATTTACCCTTGAACCACGTAAGACACGAGTTTGTGGACCATGTACATGTAGACATGTACAGCGCGTCGTATATAAAGTGTATGAAGCGACGAAATTCTGAAAATTCTTGCGCCATCTTGAGACGACATTGGCAACCGATATTCGACGGGTGCTGGATCGTGATTGGTTGATGGGTCCACACTGTCAGCCATTCAGAGCCTGCCTTATTGCCATTCAGGCAGGCACATGGTCTTCTGACCAATCGAATAAGGGATAGGCTTCTGTGCCCTAGCAGTACCTAACTTCGAGCGAAGAGCGGTGTGTATGCGAAATTCCGCCTAGAGTCTATTTGTCTCAAAACGCCGAAGACGCACTCAGCTCCTTCACATTTGTCCCTCCGTGTGTCTGTTGGTCCAGATGTGATGACTCGTGGAATATATGGCGTGGGAGTTGCACTCAGCCACAGGGCTGAAGGCACTTTGCTGGCTTTGATCCTAACGAACAGTCGTCTTTTCACCGTCCGGTTATCCAGCTCAGTGCCTCTCCACTTAATAAATCGTGACTGTTCGTAGTTTTGGCTTATGCCCCAATAGAGCGTAGTTCTGAATCCGAGAAGGACACTTTCTATCGAGATAATCGGGGCTCATGAGTCAAGAGAGCTATCCGGGCTAATTCATCAGGCAATAAGCACTGACATTGTAGTCCTTGAAGGAGATTTGAATGCTCTAGTAGGTCGTCTGAGCCTCTTGGAATCACATATGGGCGGTCTATTCGTAGTGTGTGCTCACCGCACAAACAACGGAGATCGACTCCATTTGTGTGCTGATTACGAACTGTTTCTGGCAAATACGAACTTTCAACATGAACGTTCGAATCGCGTAACCTGGCGGCCACTTACTGCAAATCAACCGTGGACCCAGTTGGACCACGTGGCCATCATCCACCGGTGGAGAACCACGATTAAAGACTGCCATTCCTTCTGGGGCACACCGCTTGATTCCGATCACGCTATGGTGCGTGCACGCCTGACGGTCTGTTCCCCTTCAGGCCCTTGCAAGTCAGCAAGAAGCATGCCAATCCACTATCTTCGAAGATCTACCATAGCTCAACAGTACCGATCGGAGCTAGCCCATCAACTCTCCACAGTAAAACGATACTGTGGTGGCAGTGAGCATGTGGTTGAAGTGTGGTAAAATGTGAAAGGAGCTATACTAGCGGCGTTCAGTGCTGCCTTCCCGACTTCTCCAATTCGACGAGGTCTCTATCCTTGATTGATGCCAGGAAAGCCATTCCAGCAGGCAACGAGTACGACGGCGCACGCGGTTCCTTCAAACCAAATAGCGAGAACCCAAAGACCGAGAGCTCTGGTGGATACCGAAATCTTTTGCTACCGGAAACGCCCGTGCCCTGTATCAGCCGATGTGATCGACTGGCTCATTAATTCACTCGCAAAGACGTCTACTGGGAAGATCGGCCGAACACTTCGAAGAACAGTTCAGCTGGCATCCTGTAACACAGTCTGGATAAATTATGCAAACCTCACTCGTCCGTCTGGAGAAGAAACGAAGTACGAAACATGCGTACTGAAATGTGAGGAGGCACCGGGATCGGATGGTCTATATCCAGCCTTCTTCAGAGAAAATGGGGAAGCCCTGGTGACCCATCTAACGAAGACCATTGGTGTGATATAGAGTGAACAGTAAGTGCCTGCGGAATGGGGCATGTCAAAAAAGTGTACGCGGATGCTGTGTGAAAACCATCTTTGAAGGCTGAATAAACAAAGGGAGAGACACCTGTGAAAAGCAGGCTGGGTTTCGTTCCGCATCGTTCAAATTCTCACCGTCCGACGGACTCTTGAACAGCGATACTTCTTTCAGCGACCAACAACTTGGGAGCTGCCTTCGACTCTGGACCGTCCGGCACTGTGGCAGTGTTTATGGAGCAAAGGTGTCCCCTATGAATTCCTAGCCATCCTGAGGGCACTGTAGACCTGAGTCCACCAACATCAAGTAGTGTCAGGCAAGACTGTCTTCTTTCAACTATTCCTTTCAATTTTGTGTTTGCTACGATTATGGAAGACCCACTGCCAGCCTCTAAAACCTGTGGGGTCAAAGTGCTCCTGGGACATTCATTTACAGGTATCGAGTACGCAGACGATATAGCTCTTCTTGGATCTGACGCCGTGGTACCGCAAACAATAGCAAACAATCTAGATAATTCTGCCGCACGGTTTGGCGTGCGCTTCGCACCTGAAAAGTGCTGCTGCAAAATAAGGTGGGTTCAAGCCCTAACCTGGGCAAGATGGCCCAAGTGGTTACAGCGCGAATTTACTGGCCGGAAGGTCCGTGGTTTGAACCCGGCCTCTGCCTCTCGACTTCCAGCCTTCGTGCTTCCTTCAGTTGGCATGGCAGCTAGGCATCGGTAGGGTGCTACAACTGAACGAGAAAAACCCTCATGCTTGCGGGCGAACCGATTGAGGTGGTAGACAAGTTTGTTTACATGGGCAGCTGTATCAGTCCTGCTGGTCTAATGAAAGATGATATTTCCATCCCGATTAGGAACGCCAGAGCAGCTTTAATGAACCTGCATCACCTGTGGCGTAGGCTTAACATCAGCTTATCTGTCAAGGGTTGATGTTAAAATGCTGTGGTATGCTTCATATTATTAAACGAGTCAAAAGCTCTGTCTCTGTGCGCCTAGGACGTCAGTGTTTGACCGTCGATGCCTTGGGAGCATTGACCGATTCGGGTGACAACACCCGATCAACAGTTCCGAATTATGTGGAATGGTTTTTGGAAGAGACAACTCACCTACAATAAGTGAACTGATCACGCTTCACAGGTTACGCTGGCTTGATTGCGTAATCCGTGTGCCAGTCGCTCGGTTTCCTCGAAGGACTTCGCACAATTGCGTGGAGAGTGGGAATGAGCCAGGGGAGGTCAGACAATGACCTGGCAGCGAAGTATGAAAGCAGTTACCAGCAAAATCGGCCGTACTGGTCATTGCAGTCATCCTGGATGGGGACTCGGAGACGGGCCTTATCAATAGCTAGAGACGTGGCACAGTCATGCCCTCAGTGATACTAAGGCACTGAGACGTTTAGAAAGTGTCCGAGAACGAGTTAGAACAGAGTCCAGGTTTTCGAGGATAAGCAACGTTTTACTTGTCTAAGAACAAGCGCACATGAGCTGAAATGTACATACAAAAGTTCAGTACGAGTATATATGGTAAGTATAAGAATAAGCACACAAAAATCATGACAGGCACCCAAGCTATCGCCTTCAATGCATAACCCTCCTCCTTGTCTCCTCAATAGAAAGTCCGCTGACATCTCTGTGTTTACGCGTCAATCATGTCAGCTACCGCTTCATTGTGATCGACAGCATGACATCGGTATTCAACACCGATGCTTCACTGCCCTACAACCATGAAGCTACCGCTTCAAATGCACGGTTATCGGCCCCGCCTCCCCAAATCATTGGTGAACGAAACTATGGCAACTATAACCACTGTACTACAATTACGCGGTTCTTATAAATGGTGTGGATGATGATGCTACGCTTGAGAGGACGTTATTTTCAACAACTTAGTCATGGAATACAACTACCCGCTTCCATCCTTGAATAACGCTGGCTCATCTAGACCAGAGGCCTGATGGCTCTTCAGCGCAGAACTGCTTATCACTATGTTGGAAGCTGGAGGGGGATCCGAATAAGCGATCCAAAATAAGCGAGTTGACGCCGTAATTGGTGGTTAATACGTAATGCTGATCGAGAGTACTGTGGTTCAAACCCAGCCTCGCTTTTGGATTGCTGTTCTCTAGGTTCGGACAGTCCGGTAGTATCTCAGCCCTCGTGCTTCCCTCGAGTTACACGGCAGCCGTGCACCGAAAGCTGACTATTATTATCGTTACTGTTGTTATTATAATGGTTAGCAAGTTGTAGTTGCAAATATGGCTACCAATCCAGATGCTTGTTTTTACCATACATTGGGTTTCAAACATTCCTTCGGTTAGTTTGCTTGCGAAAGGCCTCTTAGGTCCTGCTTCGCGGATGAAATGGGATAGTTTCCGTGCATTCACCGCGCCGGCCGCTTTCATTTCTGAACTTTTCGGTTCCACCACGACTCTGTTACGTTTGAGCTGTAGTCCAATCGATCGCGTGACTAAATTGTACTTTTGGCATCATAGCTGATGATCCCGATTTGACTCCAAGACTATTCAGCAGGCATCAGATGGCCCTAGCGACGGCCGCTGTGGCGAAGGTACTTTTACCCGCGAAGTTCGTGGCTGGTTGTGGGATCAGAGACTGTCAGGGCGTCAAAACAAATGAACATTTGGGCTCATAAACAATAGCTTAAAAGGTTGATCACAAGACATCGGTGGCCGGTCTGAGACTACCGGAGCAGTTAAATCGTTCAGCCGTAACACCCTTCCGGTGCTTAGCTCCATGCCACCCGAAGGAAACACGAGGGCTGAGATACTGCCAGGTTGCCAAAGCCTTGGCAGTCGGAGCAGTTAAGCACCAGCATGTATTCGTGGCGTAGTACCGTCAATAGTGATGGCTAGAGTGGTGCAGATCTTACGGAACTTACTACCACACTTGTTGCAATCATTAACTTGGGTTGTCGGAAGACTGCTTATTGAGTTCGTATCTGTTGATTAACACGGTAGAAGAGAGTCTGGACATTGCATGGACATCCTTTAATACATCCCAGTGGGTTACTGAGGTATCACCACGATAAGCTCCAGTCTCTCCTTGACCGTTGTATCACGTGTGCCAAATTACTGTATAGAAACGGATTTCCATGACGTATTCGACTAGGTTGACCGGTGTGTTCTTCTTGTGAGCATAATACGTTCTTTGTGTTCTGAGAATTCCGGACGTCTGACACTATACGGTGAGCTCTCCAAAAGCTTCCGTATGCAAAGCGGTGCTCGTCAGGTATGCCCACTTTCTCCATTCCTATTTAACTTCGTGATCGATGAAATCATGAGACGAACGCTGGATGGTCTTCAAAACGCCGGTGTCCTAATAGTTTGTGACGAACACCTTGTCGATCTGGAATATGCAGACGATACCGTTCTCGAACGAACGGAATAGGTGCAAGTGTTTTTGAGTGAACTTTGCACCCAGAACGTGTAAGGTCATGCTCGTGGACGTGCAATCACTAAGGCTTCACTTACAATCCAAGGAAGGGCGCTGAAAGTTGTGGAGCTTTCCACGTACCTTGGAAGTTTTGTTGGTTCCGACTGTAATATAACAGATAAGGGCAATTCACGAATCTGCAAGGCTTGGGTCACGTTTCCTACGTTGAGACATTGCGTCAAAGTGGTGTATCCCTGCATCTCAAGGGGTGTGTGTATCAGTCTACAGTGGGACCGTTTTGTTGTATAGTCGTCGAATTGGCTTTTTCGAGCTGCGGAACTGACACGTCTTCAGGTCTTAGACAGTCGTCGCAGAACCACAGCTCGTGTGGGCTGGTGTCGGCGTATCCGTTACGAGGCGATTAGAAAGGGAGTTTTCGGTTGTGCAACGGGCACTTCCATTGAAGAATGTGCCCAGCACCAAAAGCTGCGTTGGTTTAGACACGTGTTGTGTATGCCTAATCATCGTTTGCCAAAGAGTACTGTTCTCCATGCCCAACTCAGAGTGGCAGAAGCAGAGAGGTGGCCAACCCTTGACCTGGTCGAGGGGTATGAAGAAGATTACGAAATGTTTGGGTGCCAATATAATAATAATCGTTCAGCTTAGCCACCATGCCACCAGGTGTCTGTTCTTAGGCTAGACAGAAAGCTTTATAAGGTCTTATAAAGACTAGTCCCAGATATATCACGTTCGGCAGTTTATATGTAAACAAGTACACAGTCTGGGAGTTCTGGACAAAACTTGGCTCGGATCCTGTTAAACAAATTGGGCGTGATGTGTCGTATGATATGGTGCATAATTCAGTTGGCATGAATTCTTAGTTTACTCTGTCTCAAGCAAAACAGTTCAAGGTGTTTATAAGAGTGTAGTATTGATGGGTTCGCCAATCAGTAGCGTCGGGAGCACGGGGGGCACAATCGAAGCTTTCAGGTGGCCTGAATGGATCTGTCATTGGATTACAAGTTGATTAAATCGTAAAGACTATACTAGTAGGTTTGGGTACATGAAGCCAGACATTTTGATGAGACTTAATCCAATTGCGAATGAACCTGCTGGTGATACGGCAATAAAGTCCTCAGTGCGTGGCAGAAAAACTATGATGTGAGAATAAGATATGCGAACCTCTGCAGTGCTCTAGTGGATTGTTTCGGCCTGTTTAAGGTCCAATATCTCGTTGTGCTGTTAAATTGTACTTTCCCCTGTTACGTTGTGTCATACCTAGATGACAAACGATTATGAGCAGAGCACTGTGAAAGCACTTACGCCATTTAATCTGAAAGTCTTATCTGTTGGCACTACAAGCTGGAGTACGAAGTTCACTTTCTACACATTCATCGTGAATCTAGCTGGGTCAATAATTTATCGGTGTAAAGACTACAGGCAACTTGGTTCCTATCGCGCAATCGTGCTTGCTTATGTGGTACTGTTTTCCAACAAGACACCACATGTCAGCATTATTGCTCGTGTCCACAATCAGACACCAAATAGCTCGGGGTAGTTCAGTGGTTAAGGTGCCAACTTATGGACCAATAGGTCCGTGGTTCGAACCCAACCTCAGCATCTGGACTGCTCCTGTATAGGTTTGAGCACCCTAGCAGCATCCCAACCATCATGCCTCCCTCAACTGGCATGGCAGCTAGCTAAGCACCGAGAGGATGCTACATCTGAACCACAGTCAAAAAACACCTACGTGACCCAAAAACTGTCGATGTTTACTCAAAACAGTCATGAGGGCCTGCCGAAACTAATCTTGTTTATGAACAACAGAGTGAAGAATGGTAGCCCATAAAAAGATGTTATACCGACAGCTCCCGAAGGCGCCTGCCTGCCGTTTTCCGCAGACCCGAACGCTAGAGGCTTCGGTGAGGGGAGGAGATGCCCCCCTTTCTACTTATTTGTTCAACCCCCAGAGGAAGCTCAGGGTCTGTGGTACAATATTGGGGGAGGATGGATCTACAACCTGTTAAAGAACATCGTATTTAAAGGTGGACGGACATTTTGAAGAACGATTCAGCATGCCATCTGTATTCCGTACTCGTATATGACTCGCGACCCTGATTTGCACACGGATACTACTGAGGACAACCGTTATTTTGATCCCGTGTATTGGACGTGACAAGTCTTCAAGTCCGGACGGATTGCATAATGCACTTTTCCGAGAAGTTTGCTGTCCAGCTTACTAACTTCTCCACGATCCATATGGACCAAAGACGATATTTGTGGAATGGGACGCAACTACCGAAATAGGCGCTCGTCTCCTGCGAAATGTATCGTGACCTCATCCAGGTATCTGCAGCACCCAACGTGCTCTCTGGTAATCCAGTGTTTCGTGAGCCGTATCGATGGGAAAAAGCTTAGTCTGGAAAAGGACACCTAGGATGCGTAGTTTGGCAGGTGCCTCAGAAGTCCATTCATTATGCTGACTCACAACACTCATCTTTGCAGTGAAGGCTCATTTCTTTCTAGATCATCGGGTTCCATGGAAATGCTTTGCGGTCAAGTGACCATCTAAGTTTCTTTCTTGTGAATAGAATACACGCTTACCCTCCTGAGTTTACAGATTTATCGAAAACTTTTGCCCGACTTCACTACAGCTAGTGGTGTGAATTGAGGATGTCCTCTTTCATTTGTCTTCTTCGACTCTATCGTCGATATAACACCAGAAAACTTGGCCGCTTCCAATACTTGTGATGCCGAATTACTCCCACGGAATTCATTCCTGGAAGTAACCTCATGGACGTTGAATACACAAACGACGTAGAGCTTCCAGTATTGGAAAATGTACACTGGTGTTAATGACCCAACTATTTGCTCTGTACATTTCGTCACGCCCTTCACACGTGTACGGTGCGTAATTCTACGGGAAGATTAAATGAAATCCTTTTCGCTCAGCTGTAGTACCCTTCCGGTGCCTAGCTGCCATGCCACCCGAAGGAAGCACGAGGGCTGGGATACTGCCGGGTTGCCCAAGCCTAGACAGGGGAAGTCGAGAGACAGAGGTCGGGTTCGAACCACGGACCTTCCGGTCAGTAAATTCGTGCTCTAACCACTTGGGCCATCTCACCCCCATGAAATCCTTACCTCGTCTCCTGTTTCCAGATCACTAAGTAATATTGTAAAATGATATCACTTAGTGGGGGGCGAGATGACTCAAGTGCTTAGGGCGCGAATTTACTGACTGGAAGGTCTGTGGTTCGAACCCGACCACTGCCTCTCGAGTTCTCCTGTCTAAACTTGGGCAACCTGGCAGTATCCCAGTAATCTTCGGGTAGCATGGCAGTTAGACACCAGAAGAGTGCTACAGCTGAACGATTGTAAAATAATCCGACAACTTGGATAGTATATTATTCCTAGGAGCTTGTTAGATGAGGAAATCAGGGTAGGGTTGCCGACTTCCGTCGTCTACGACACTAACGTGACGTCGACGTCATAAAAGAACGTGAGTACACGAAATCAAAAGGGTACGCAATTGTACCATCACAGCCAGTACAATTGATGTAAAGGCCAGAGTTGGAGATCCAGCGTATGCCTTGGAGCGCGTGTGACAACGTGAATTCCCAATAGTGTGTGTCATGTTTGTGAAAACGGTGATCAATAACCCAGGATGAAGAAACCGAACCGTATCAAATTTGTGACGGAAGGGTAACAGCACTTTAGGTTCAACCCAGTAAGCTCCCCTGTAATATGGCAAGTCGGTAGGTATCTCCTTGACTTCGGTATTGATTAAAATGCGCTGTAGGCCCTCATTTTCCCACAGACGCCTTTAAAAGTACTTGCGTCAAGGCGCAAGTCGCTTCTCCCCTTCTGTTTAGTTGGACTTCTAATTTTTCTACAATTTGTTGGTGCTGTTACCACCGATGATGGCTATGCTCTGTTGACCTGCCCATCCACCAGAGAGTTAATTTTTCTCTGCTTGCTCACATGGTTCCTTCGCGGGTGTTTTCTATCCCTACCCGACTAATGTAATTTGACCCATTAGTTGTCCATCGTTATTGATAGCTGTTAATGAGGTACCTCTTTTATTTTTTTTTCCAGCAAACAAGTCACCTAAAAATGGACGACAAGCCTCCTCCTTATGGATCTGTTATGGGTTATCAGCAAGGTAAGATCCTAGTATTTTTCGGAAATGTTATCTGTTTTTTCTGTCTCGAACTTGACGTTTGATTCGATTAGTACATTTCATCCGTCAAGGCGCAAAACTATTGACTGCTTGGTTTGTGGCCCAAACCCATCCCTCTCTAGGCTTTGGTAAACTGATGATGCGCCAGCTTTTGTGCTTCCGTCGAGTTGCACAGTAGCTATGCGCCGAAAAAGTGCCGCGACTTGATATTATCATTACTATTGTTACTATTATTCTGATTATGTTCTTTAGAATATCACCCCTCATACACGGAACTCTGCCTTCCTGATGCCCTGAAGATTGGGTACAACACAATTTGTCTCCAAAGACCATGTGATATTGTAATGCTTGTAACTGGATAGGGGGAACATACGTATACGGGAAGATTTAGGTACGTCCCCAAACTGGTGACGTCGCTTTAAGTGTGACTTCGTTCAGCTGTGACATCTTCTCGGTGCCTAGCTGGCGTGCCAATGGAAGAAGGCACAAGAGCTGGGTTGCTGCCAGGTTGCCCAAACCTAGACAGGAGTAGTCGAGATGCTGAGGTCGGGTCCGTAAGCAGGCGCCTAAGTGACTGTTCGAAGGACAGCTCGTTGTGTCAGCTTCGTACGTTGTAGATCTAAAATCACCGTAGCTACACTACCATAAACAATTGTCCGTAAAGCCTGTGGCCGTTTCATAATGTTCGGGCCTGTGTGAACATTTGTGACTGATAGAACCAGCGCCAGAGACTGGGCGAGTGGTCTTCGACGAACCTCTCTGTATGCGCAATTGGGGAACCATGATTCATCATCATCATCATCAATGACAGCAACATCAGTGTTGGCACTGATGCTTCACTGCCGTACAACCATGATTAGTGCCAGTATAACTACCCCTAGCTGATAAGTATTTTACGGCATTATGTTACTGTGACATCTCAGCTCTTGGGTTCAATTCCAGTGTCCTTTTGATGCATAAACACAGAGGGAATTACGGTATTGAGAAATCTACCGTTCTCTTTCAGCCTAGTCAAGAGTAGCAGTCGAGCTTGAATCGTGAACCTTTCGGCCCTGGTCTATCTTGAGTAGAATAGACAGCGAGCTCCCTAGATGAAAGATTTGCTCCATCTATCCAAAGAGTTTCTAGATTTTTTTTAGGTGTTTGAACTGCGCCAGATGGACTTGTAACTCTCATTAGGAAGAAATCAGCATCTTAGGTTAAGGACTGGGCTATTCCAATGCACTTTCCGTCCGGCAAATGCAACCAATATATTCTGAAAAGCCAAGAAACACAGTTTCATTCTTATTGAGAGTCATCAGCAGTGCGCATCTCACGAAAGTCCAGAGTTTCGAAAACGCGACCTCTCGTTTGGCTGTTTGAACCCTTCGTGTCCGAATGATTGAGGGCTGGGAGATCGACCATTCGGAATTTTCTGGAGTTCTGTGAGGTGCGCACTACTGATGGTCCCCAGTGCAGTGCTTTTCGGCTCTTCAGCCGTGTTATTCCCTCGCGCCCCGCGTCCCTCATCTTAGTTTCACCTTCTTTGATGTATATTTTTTTTACGGCAAAGCAGATATTATCTTGGTTCATCAACGGTGATTTCGGGAGCATTTGTGAAGTCATTCATGGAGCGCGTGATCTTTTTTCACGCCCAACTTAATCACACTCAGAACAACCCACCTGACAGCGTACCAGAATGTAGAAAGCTGTGACGTTTGTGTAACGTCACCCACATTTGCCTTCATTTCTTAAAAATGAAAACGCTTACTTAACGAATATACACTCATCTGCAAACTAATTTGGTTCTTTCGAGAGACTCACCTGGAACCCAGCTGAATCTCTCGTTTGTGATGTTCTCAGGCAACTGAATGTGCTGCACCAGGCCGCCTCGTGTTTCAGTCGCTACGATATTTGAAACATCGCGATACACGTATATTTGTAATGTACTACTCATAAGGTTGCTGAAAATCCATCGACAACCCACGACCGGTTTCGCCCTTCTTGGGGCTCATCAGGTAGGCGCAGTCCCCGGGTTTCCGTCAACCTTATGTTCTACTTGAAGCCGAATTGCACGAAATTAGCAAATAGACACTCATTTGCAAAGTAATTTGGTCTTTCGAGAGACTCACCTGGAACCCAGCTGAATCCCTCGTCTGTGATGTTTTTCTTCAATCGAATGTGCTGAAGTGAGCCGCTTCATCAAGAACATCATAAACGAGAGTTTCAGCTGGGTTTCAGGTGAATCCCCCGTGAAAACCAAGTTAGTATGCAAAAAGTGTACTTGTGAAAATCTGGGTTCAGGTTGACGGAAACTCGCGGACTGTGCCTACCTGATGAGCCCCAAGAAGGGCGAAACCGGTCGTGAGCTGTCGATGGATTTTCAGAACCTTATGAGTAGTACATTGCAAAAGAAAACGCTTACTGTTCAGAGTAGTCAGAAGGCATGCCACGCAGTTCTGAAGACGAATTATTCTGGAAGAATAATGATCTCATTCGAATCGATCGCATCGACCCGTTTGTACTCGAATTATTTATTTCTTCCAGCTGCTCCCTATCCATCTGGGCATCCAGTGCAAAGTAAGTCAGTGTGGGTTGTTCTTAACATTTTTCATTAATGATATTTCTCTTAATTGGGTGCGGGACTGTCGAAGTGATCCTAGTGGCCTTCACTCAAATTGACCGATAAGTTGATACGACTAATAGAGTAAGAACCTGATATTTCACCAACCAAATTTGCATAACTAACGTGACTTGTGTTGGGGTGTTCGTTAGAGGGATGTTTTCTCCGCTGGATTTGCGGTTTATGCGCTGACGATGTGTGCGTAGTTCCGCCACAAACGTTTCGCGAAACAATAAAATCAAGGCCTGGTTGTTTCAAGCGCGATTCCCTAACGATCCAAGACCACTCACGTTTCTTTCTGGGTGCTGGCGCTTCAAATTGCCACCTATAAAGCTCACTCAGTCGCAAGTCTGATATACCATTTTTCTGGGAACGGTTTAGAGCCAATTATTAGAAAAGCTCTAGTAGAAACCCCATATCATTTTACACCTTGGACTGGTATTCTTGTTAACCCGAACAACTGAAGTTGGAGACAAGTCTGGACAAAAGGGATCACGGTTTATTCACGTGTACATAACGTATGGGACCGGGTTCGGCGTTCCACAAGCCGTTTCCTGCTCATAAAGGTACACTTTCAAAGGGAATTAGGGGGGGAAGCTTGATACCATTTCCATCATTTTTCTCCAGTGGGCCCCTACTTCGCCGGGCAACCCATGTATGGTAAGTCGATGCTATTAGCTGGCCTATGGGCCGTCTACTGTTCTCGTGTACTTTTGCTTGCTGCTTGATTTTACTGTCGTTTGTTTTTGTCTGATTTTATTAGCTTGCTATCTGTTAATTCCATTCTGTCGGGTGCCACATCCACTATGTTATGACGAGCGTTGTTGAGGCAACACAGCCTTGCAGTGGGATTGAAAATAACAATGAATTGTTGATGTAATCTGGTCCACCAGAGGACGTTGGTACTTTCGATGGCTATGGTGCTATGTTCATATTCCAATTACATCCATCAGTCGTAAACGGAAAGCTTTACAGTTTGACATGCAGCGTTGTGACACACGATCACCCAAAAAGGGACAGACAGACAGTCAGACAGACAAACAAACAGGCAAACAGACAGACAGACAGATAGGTAGACAGACAGAGTTGGTCGGTCATTTCGGAAATATATATACGGTTAGAATGGATAACTTGCCGTAAGATTTTTGGTTGCGTTGCTCTGTTCACCACGCATTTCGGAAATATTCCGACGGTTAGAATGGATAACTTGCCGTAAGATTTTTGGTTGCGTTGCTCTGTTCACCACGCCTTCGTTAAAAGTCGAGAGTTTCAGGTTACCGGTTAACAACAGAATAACAAGAATAAAGTAGCTAATACTTCTACGACCATTGCAGTCAAACTTGACCGCATGTATTTGCAGAAACCCCTCATACTGGGTCTACCGAATGCATATCGTTCGAACTAGCCAATCACGCTCTTTGAAGAAGATCAGTGTTGGTGAGGCAGATGACACCATTTCGATGTAATCAAGCCGTAAATCGGATAATGTACGGATTTTTCCTATTTTGTACGGTAACGAAGATGATTTCCATTGATTTTGTCACAGAGTGATGTATGAAATGATTGAAAAACTTCCCCAACCTTCTTACTTAGATGGATTTGTGTGTGTGTGTGTTGATGGATTTGTACGTTTCTTGTTTACTTTAGTCGGTCATGGGCAGACATCGTATGCGTTGACAAAAACCCATGATGAAGCGCGTTAGATGTACTCTATCTAGAACAAAGATGATGAGCTTGACAGACCAGTAACCTTTATTATGCTTTCGAACTAGACACAGTTCAATACGATATGAGCTTGAGATAGCTTAGTGGTTAAGGCGCGAACTTACTGATCGGAAGTTCCGTGGTTGGGACCCAACTTCGGCATGTCGACTGCTCCTGTGTCTAGACTTGGGCAACCAGGCAGTATCTCAACCCTCACACTTCCACCTTGTGGCATGGCAGCTATGCACCGAAAGGGTGTTACGCTAGCCTGTCTCGATGACAGGCTGGTTCAAGCCAACACGCTGCGCCGCTGTTGGTCATACCCACCCTTTCGTTTGCGGCTGATTCACTATTTTTATTTTGGTCTCACTTTTGCCGGCCTCTTTCCTTTTGCTGTGACTAAAGATGACCAGAATATACTAGGATCATCTGGTTGTTGAGTTATCCTCTTGATTTCGTTGTCTATTTGTGTGATTTAAGTAGTTTGTCCCTCGGTACCTACAAGAACGTCTGGCAACCATCTGTATCGATTGCTATGAGAGCTCTTCCAATGTCTCATTCATCAGAGAAACAAGTTTGACTTGACCAACTTAGTGACGCAGATTCTTGACTCAAGCGACCGCGTTTAGTCCCTTTGCATCTAGAATGCATCTAGAATGACCCAAGTCAACATTGAGACAACCAGGGACAAGGAATCAGTTGCTTGACACGTGTGTTTGTGTGTGTGTGTGTGTGTGCGTTCGTGTTGATTATTGTACTCTAGTAGATCGAGCCGCCCAACCATCACGCTTCCTCCGTTTGTAACACGCTTGCAGCAGTTTCTGGTTTGCACTAATGGATGCGTGTAATGTGTGGAATTTTGTGCTAGTAATGTATTGATGGCCAAACACCGGTGTATTTATTGGTAGTGATGTAGTAATGCGCGCATTTCCTATTACCGGTGGCTATCCAATCACCTGATCAGATATTCACGCACGCTAGGGGATTTCATTGTTGTATGCACTTTGATAGAATTCTATCTGTCGGACGTGTCAGTTCCCGGGCAGCTGCTAACATCAATCACGTAGGCAGCCCGAGTGAAGTCCAGTGTTTGTAACAAAAACTTTGGAAAATAACAACGCTTATGGAGTAGGCCTACTAAAAATAACCATAATGCACCCGCATAACAGTGCACGGAACTTAAGTCGCGTTCGGGTTAGATCGATCATCCCCTTCGTGGCAATTGCCCACTCGTTATTAGCTCTCTCGGGGCGAGATGGCTCAAGTGGTTAGAGCGCGAATTTGCTGACTGGAAGGTCCGTGGTTCGGACTTGACCTCTCGACTTCCCCTGTCTAGGCTTGAGCAACCTGGCAGTATCCCAGCCCTCGTGCTTCCTTCGAGTAGCATGGCAGCTAGGCACCGGAAGAGTGTTACAGCTGAGAGATTTTTTCTCTCGGTTTCACTGTTTGAAGGAAGCGATTTTATAGAGGTTTCTAAATCGCAGGTTCACAGCGCACCTGGGAATAAAGAGGTCCTCACTCATTCATCTTGGACTTTCGTAAGATAATGAGCTCAAGATGACCCAGCGGTTAGGTCACGAACTTGCTTACGACGAGTTCCGTGTTTTGAACCCAACTTCGGCTCCCGGACTGTTCCTGTCGAGGCTTGGGCAAACTGGATGTTTGGTACTGAACGGATACTACCAACGACCGGTCCAACCACTCCTAGTGCAGGGAAGAAGACCGGACCTTGTGGAGGGGGCCTTTACTGTCTCAACTATATGCAAAGTACAGCGGTAGCAATGTTGAATATTTATTTTTCAAACGACCTTAGAGGGCGATAAATGCGTTTGTACGCACAAAGTACAACTGGCCGACAGGAGCGAAGGTCTTTTTTGATAAATGTGCAACATGGCGAAAATGACGCTAAAATTCAAGTTTAAATTTTGGAAAATAAATTAAGCAATAACTAAAAAAAGCAAACGGTTTTCAGGGTTACTGATATCCCCAACACAGGTACTAACTTAGTCCTCGCGCTTCCTGTGGCAGGCAAGTACCGAAAGGATGCTAAGTTAGTTGTTGGAGGGATCAGCCACATGGTTGCATCATTTAATGGCCGCCACCTATCTTTCGACAAATACACGGAGTCCCTATGATACGAAGATGTTGATGTTAGCACCACATATACTGGACAACCTCACTCTAGAAGTTGGAGCCTGTTTACATCCTCTTTGCAGAGAGAAAAATCTGCATTCGCCATCTGTCTGTATGTTTCTTTATACGGAGGAAGGGCTGAATCGGGCGAATAGAGATCATCCAATGAGTTGAATGTGCTGAGATCGCGTTTTCCCGACCTCGTATAAGTTATGGAGCTTGCTTATCAGAAAGTCCCCGACAGGCCGAAGAAGCGATTCCAGCATTAGTCTTCTCACGAATGAATGGACATGCCTACGTCAACAAACTACCCTCACTACAAACTGGGATAAATGCTCGTTTAGCGGTTTTTGTCAGTCGTACGAACAAGTTTAGTATTCACAGCGGGTATGCTCGACGAACTCAGCTTTGCACAACCGACCGTCAACGTATTGATCTCAAGTGATCAGAATAGTCGAGATGTAGACTTGACTTGCTGCGCTTCCTCCAATGATACCTGATTTTTGAATTTGAATTTGAGGCGTGAATGTGATATTCTATGTCACGCGATTGCAGTCATCTACAAGTGACTACTTTGCTAGGAAGCAACGGCAGGAGTAGTAGCCTTGTATTCATAGCTGCTTACATTCTGTATGGTAGGATTCAGGCAAAGGTCTGAGCACAAATCGGTGTCATCGTCAGCTGTAATAACCGCGTACTCGTCGTACAGTGGTTGTAGCTGCCGCAGTCTCGTTCACCGATGATTGGGGGGGGTAGGTAGCTGCGCATTGCACGCGCGAGCTGATAAATTGGTGAATAAATCCAGCACTGTCAGTTGGCTGTCAAGTCGGGGGGGGG